TTCTCCCTCAGGCGCCATATCTGTCGAGAAGGGCGCTGAGGGCAAAATTGAGATTGATTGAAAGGCTGGGCGAGATACGGGAAGAAGCGGCGACTTCCGTTGTTTACATCGAATTTCGGCGGAACAAGTCCGTGGAAAAAGGCATGGAAGGAAGGGTGGGGGCTTTGACTAGTTTGTAGTCTCATTGATTATTAGTTGATTATTAGTTCCTAGCTTTTTGTGTGTCGGAAAGTTCCGTGGGGGTTTCATGGAGGTTCTATGGATTATATATATATATATATCTATTTGATTTTGCCTCTTAAGCTCATGGAATCAGATCGTGGAGAGCGGAGGCAGGGGGCTGTCTACTGGCAGCTTTGTTCTTCAACCAGTGATGAATATATATGTATATATTCAAGTATACGTATCAATCGTCTCCCATAGCTTTTCAAACACCGAATTCATAATAAGATATAGATCTGACCTGAGATATCAGTCGCTGGAGTCACGTGTAATTTAATTATCCTTCTTCACCTGTCGGCGCAACGCAACCAGCCGGACAAGCAGTAGGAGAGCATCAGCGTCCATATTTTCAATTTGGAAATTTCAGGATATATGCCGTGCTAAGACTTCCATCTTCTACACATTGCGTACGACTTTTCCGCATGGAGAAAAAAAAAAAAGGTACTACAAACAGTTATATGGGTATCGTTTTCTCTCTAGTTGGCATGTAAAATGTCCGCCTCAGCAAAGGGGTATGTATATATATATATGCCTAGCCCGAAATACAAAAAGCCGGTGTATTTGGGGATGGTGATCAGGGTCCTGTAAATGGAGAAAAGGTATCCTTTTTAATAAACAACAATGATTCACCTTCATTCCCGGGCCCCAAACCCACCCTTAGCCTACTGCAAAGACTCAATAACCATAGCACTAGCACCACCCCCTCCATTGCAAATACCCACACATCCCAACTTTCCCCTCTTCGCCTTTAGGACGCCAAGCAGTGTCGTCACGATACGCGCACCGCTAGCACCGAGCGGGTGTCCCAGCGCAACCGCGCCGCCGTGCATATTGACCTTTTCCTCGTTCAGGCCCAAGAGCTTCATATTCGCCAGAGCAACGACGCTGAACGCCTCGTTGATCTCGAAGGCGTCGATGGCATCCTGAGCGATACCGGCATGCTTGAGGGCCTTGGGGATGGCGAGCGACGGTGCCGTGGTGAATTTGCTGGTTGCTTTGGCGGCGTCACCCCAGCCGAGGATCTTGGCTAGGGGTTTGATGTCGAGTTCCTTTAACTTGGCTTCGGAGACGAGGACGACAGCAGCGGCACCGTCGTTTAGTGGGGAGGAGTTGGGAGCAGTGACGGTGCCGGTGCTTGGGATGAAGGCGGGTTTTATGGGCGCGGAGCTTTTCAGGGTGCAGCTGTATAGAGGACGAGAGTTAGCTTTGCCTCAAATGATTGTATATGATATGGATTTGGAA